CCCTGTTTGTGTGGGGTCCGTTTGCAAATGACAGTTTCCAAAGCCACGAGCTCAAGGCTCCAAGCTTACTGTATCCATTCAGCTGCCACTTGAGATGCTGAATCACTCAGCATCAACTTGTTGGACTATCACTGGACTCTGTCACGGAGTCCAGCTTTCGTTAAGTGCTTTCTGTCTCATCTCTGTCCCCAGCTTTCAGACCACCTCTCAAGTAGTATCTGACCAGTCCAGTAATAGGAAGATAAGGCACCCAGTCACTAGTGCATTTTCAGGGAGCATAGATATCACGTGATAACTATTGAATGAAAATGTTTACAGAAAAATAGTTTTGTAAAACAGCTCAGACCAAGTTGTTGCTGAGGGTTTTGCTCAAGCTATACAAGCCAAAAACCACAGCTGTATCTTTTCTAACTACAGCTAGAAACAGCTAAGTGTACTGGAAAAACCTTTGATTGGGCGGGTGGGGGGGATAGATTCTCTCCTAACAGGATTACACCTAGAAGCAAGTGTGAACATCTGTTTTCTGCTCTGTTAAGTCTATACCTGTACCGACACAAGGAAAGTGATGGCTGCGGTTTGTGCTTTAATTATTGAATGGCAATGCTTTCACTCAGCTTTGACATTTGCTGCAGTAATTATTCTAATAACAACTCCAGTAAGAAGCTGGACTTCAGAGCAATACCCCAGTCAAATATTACAGCCTCAGCTTTACAGACAGAAAAACTGAGGCAGAAAGGGATGAGCTCTGTTTATGCAGACAGTTAATTGCACATGCTTTAGTGTACCTTGTGACCTGAAAAGTTATAGGGAATGTCACTGGAGGAACTTGGATTATGATTAGTAATTTTATGAGCCTTCATGTTTTTGTCAGCAAATTTGTAACTACAACTTTTCACTTTTTCAATCTTGCAGATTTTAATTTATTTTTCACTCTCTTATCCTGTCCTCAGAAGAAGCCAAGACATTTCTGTGGAAAAGCTAGGGTCTTCTGAGGGCTGAGGTCAAGAAGTTTATCTTGGGCATCATCTCGTCTGAACTCAAAAACTAGCAACAGTCCAGAAAAAGGTCTTAATTTGTAGAGTAGCAAGGTGATCAGGACACAGCCTGCTGGTGAAGGACAGGGAGATGTGGTGCTGGGGTTAGGATATCAGAAAGGGCCCATGGAAAAGGCTGGCAGGTTTGACAGTCCGGCCAGAGGTGCCTCTGAAGCAGAGCAAACGGGTGTTCCAGCACTGGCAGGAAAGGGTATCGACATTAATAAAGGCTGATGTGCAGAATATGACCCTTCTGCACAGCTGACTTACTCTGGAGGTCTTCTACTATGGGGCTGTTGCATTTTCCTTCTAGGGCTAGATACACTAGCACTAACTTTCCCACCCAGTCTTAAGTGCAGTTTAGGGTTTGTGTCTTTGGTAATAACAAGGTAGCACAGAGATGTAAAGGTGGGATGCTCAGTTCCCAGATAATCAATCTCATTATGAGATACTGAGAAGGTTATTTTCTCTCTAAAGCACTTCAAGAAATGAGGAATGTTTCCTTTTACAACTAATGCTTGTATTTCCACCAAAGAGCTATAGTTTTGTATTGACATATTCTGACAGAAAAATTTTGCTTAGAAATTCCTGCTTATTTCTGTGGGAAGTAATTGGAATCACTTATTAAGTATAATCAGTTGAAAGTGGGAAAAAATTCCACTTTTAGGAGAGGACAGTCAGCATTTCCCAAATCGTTCTTCTCTTTGTGCCCATGAAAATGATTACTTGAAATCACTGTCTGCTGACATAGGTCTTATAAGAACTTGTATCTTATTCTTAACCCAGACAAGTGTTATTCTGGAAACTACACAGTTTAGCCTCCCTAAACAGAGACATTTTCCAGCCTTTACAGATTTACCCATGACAAAGCAAAACACCCTTCAAGCCTGACTTGAATTTACACAGCTAAATAGATCACTTAAGTGCTTAAATGTCATTGTGAGAATGAAGAGATGATATGTGCTGTATATCATCTCTACAAAACCAGAAGTAGTTATATTATAAACAAACAGAGTTTGCTTGGTATTAGGGACATAGGAAATTCCATTCAAGAACAGACAAATGGCACATCTTGTCTGGTATCCTGCATCTGGCACAGGCCTATAACAGATGCTTAAAATACTTGGCTCTCTTGGTCCCACAGTCTCCCCTGTTCCACCTACCACCAATGTTATAAATCACACAGTTTTCCTAACCTCTGGTGAGAGTCTCTTTCCTGCTCACTTGTATAACGTGGGAGGTAGAAGCACAGGCTGGGGGAATACATATTTTCCCTGTGATGCTTATTACAGTGGCTGGTACCGAATTTGACTGAACTGTGGTTCTGACTGTTTCAGAACATGCATGGTGTTACTGCCTGTGTAGCAAAACGAAGAAGCAGATAGGTGAGGACTATGCTTGGCTCCAGAGAAAGGGGGAAGCAAACCCCTTCTCACCCTCATTTGCACATAGCCAGCAAGTGTACCTACCACTACCCTATTCTTAATCAGCTGCTCTGTCTCATCAAGGCACTGCCACCTAACTACTCCCCACGACTCAATGACATGTATATCCGTGGCTTACTTAGTAACTTTCATAGTTCCATGCATGATGAATGAAAATTAAATGAGTTTATTGTCTCTCAAGCAGAATTCACTTTTGTCCTTATTCCAGAGGTTATCAAAACAAGGTTCCTCTACCCAGCAGGTCACATAATGCAGGTCCCCCTCTTGAGTTGCCTGGTGCTTCCAGCCACTGTTACTAGTGTGATACACCTGCACCTGACAAAACTGACTGGAGCTCTCCCTTACTAGAAATGTACTTCTCACTGACCATGCCCCTTTGTTTTCTGCAGTCTCATTCATAACCAACATTAAATTCAATGGCACAATTGGTTAAGGGCCTCTAAAACAGACAAACAAAAAATCCAAACCTTTCAATTTGAAAAGCTGAAGTTTAAAACACCCTTGGTATTAATTACATTACACCCTCTTTGTGTTCCCCTGTGAAATAAAAGGATTTTTTAAAGGCTAAGGAGAACTTAACAACTATAGGGAACTACCACATGAGGTCCTTTCACATGCCATCTTACGTAAAGACCACAAAGAGAGAGGCAGCAATACAAATGATGACACCTCATGTCTAAGCTGTAGTGGTAAAAAAATGAGTTAAGGCGGGGGGGGAGAGGGAGGAGGGGAATGAAGTGTCCCGCATTTTAAGCATATCTTCTCTACAGTTGCAGAACACTGCTCTTTGGGAGTGACGGAAAGCTGAATCCTGATGATGTGCCTAAGCTGTTGCATATAGTTTCAGAGGTCAGCTTTCTCCATGCTGAAAGATTTTCTGATTCTGGTTCCATCCTACTGAAGTTAACATTCAGTGTCAAAGGTCCATTTCTAGAGTGTGGACCTTTATAGCTACCCAGAACACGTATCCACAAAGAACAAGACTTTGCAGTATCAATCTGCTTGAAAAAATGGACACATTAAAGCAGAAGTTTGTATCCTTTAACATACTCCTAATTGACTATACATTCAGGGATGGCCAGGCTTAATATTAGCAGGAGCTCTGTGACTTTTTGCACTTCTCTCCAAAGAGGAATGACTTTCAGAATATCCATCTTGTTTCAGTAGGAACAGAAGTAGAGGTTTTTCAACACAGACAAATGAGTCAGCCACTTGTTCCAAATAAATGGAAGTGATGTTCCAAGTTTCCTGGACAGCTTTAAAAACTACATAGAGCAATTCAGCTGCTTAGTATGTTGTGTTCTACACCTCACATTTAAGAGGACACAAAATCACATGTACTTTATTCCAGATACAAGTTCTTTTACCCACAGCAGCCCAAAGCCATCTCATTGTGTCTCTGTCCTTGACGTACATGCTATTCCTCTTGCTTGTGCCATTCCCAAGAACAAAAGTAGCACTCTTTCAAGTAAAGAGCAGCAGCTGAGGTTCCCATACTGCCAAGGAGACCCTAAATAAGCTTGAACTAAGCGTCTCAATATCTGTGACTTGCCCATTTGTATAACAAGGATGTTAATAATTTGCTTTCTGAAGAGGAATGTTGTAAACCTTAATTAGTATATCAGTGACAAAAAAGGCATGAGTTACAACTTTATACAGTAAAATAGAACATCTATGTGGATAAATAATTATAAGGAGATACATAAAACTATAAAAATAATCTCTTTACTGCAAACCTTGCCTTAACAAGAAACATAACTCCTTCCTCAAGAAAGCTGAATACACTGACTCATGTCTTTAAGGGTCATGGTAAATTTGTTCTTTTATAACGTGTAGTAGTTTAGCTTTGAACTTTTTGATTTTTGGAAAAGGCAGAGCGGAAAAATGTTTTCATGCGAGAGGAGTGCACATTCCAGAGCTGTCGACTGTTACTCGTTTTTGGGGCAGGGAGGAAGCTACTTAGGTTTTAGGCTTTGGTTGATGCAATTTGTTGCTGTCTGGTATTCTGTGATAAACCAGAGTTTACGCTGCATAGTGAAATATTTCCATTTTCTCTCTCATTTTTCCAGCTTTTTCTTGTTCAAAACTCTGAACAAGCTGGAAACTGACTTCTGTTGAGGAGAGAAAAATTAGCTTTGTGTGAATTGAAATAGTGATCCTCTGTAATATATAAAGTAGTCCAAACAGAAAATAACTCACAGTTTACTGTGAATTACAGAGCTACACACAAGCATAATGTGGGAATGAAGATAATATTACTCAAAAATAAAACAAAAGAAAATATGAGCCCTTCATGGTGTGCTTGTAACCCGGGCAACAGTTTTAAACACAATTTTCCTGTGCTGTTCCTTGTTTATTTAATATATTAACATTTGATTACGTATAAAAATATAAAAATAGGAAAATAAAATAAACTTTATGTAGCTTATTTATTCAAGTAAAGTAAAAAAAAATATTTCTCTGCTGTCCTGCATATTTTGAAGAGTATTAGCATACCTGCTTTCTTCCCTTCTCTTTCTAGAAAGGGAAGAAAACGCTGATTGTCAGAATTCTTCAAATTTGATACTCAGCACTGTTATGATCTCTTCATTACTGGATGTTGAGTCTGGATATCAGAACCGGTAGGGTGAAGTGCTCTCCTATTAAGCCAAGGTAATTTTCTTCCCAACATTTCTGGTCAGAACATTATACTGTGCAATACAGCATCACTTGACATAAAAGACATGAGAGCTGATGCTTTTGCGAACAGGCAGGGAGATTCAGGCCCCAATTATTAATATAAATTTAGCTAGAGTGTATTATTTAAGGTAACCACACTGAATTGGGTCTGGAAAGGACTGCAAGTGTCAGCTCCTTGCCCCTGAGAGGGAATAGTGACATGATAGATGCAACATCCTGGATTCATGGCCTGTTAAAAAGAGTACTGCACAACCATTATGGGTATGTCAGAGACTGCATTCTTTGCTGCATTGGCATTGAGATCTAAAGTCATTGAGACCATAATTAATGAAAAAGTCTAACGCTGAAACAATGCAATTAACAAGTCTTCCGAAGTTTCATTTCCTGGGGAAAATTATTGACATTGACAAGGATCTATCCTGTCAAAAATCTTAGCTGACAAAGGCTAGAAAACTACATGAAAATACCAGCTCCAAGCCAGAGAGATGAGGAGAGAACTTCTCGATTCACATAGACAGATGTTAGAGTTTTGTTCTAAGAGGGAGGGAGGCTTTACCAAGGACATCAACTGCTTTTCAGACACACATTCAGATAACTTTCTACTTAGTGGGATGGGCAACCATACAGTAGGTTATTTCATCAATATTATTCACTCAGCATGAAAACCTACATTTATGAAAGCCTACAAGTCCCTAGTTAATGGTGTCACATTTTCCTTCAAGAACACAACTGCACACAGTGCAGGCCTGACATACTCACAGTATGTTATAGCCACATGCAACTTAGGATGCAGATGGGAAGGCAGTCAGTTGTAGAATTGCATGCCAAAAGAAAGCAGGTGGCTCTGAGGCTGGCCACTGGCCCATGAGGATGCAGAGATGCAATTAACTTCAGAACTAAAGTACATAGAAAACATTTTCAGAAAGTTTTCTATCCTCAAATGGCTTTTCTATCCCCTCCTATCCTGGTATATCAGTAATCAGGATACAGCCCGTTTGCTGTCCCTTGCCCTAATACAATTGAATGTCTTTCACAGTGTATTAATATGAACTTAAAGAAACTGCAGTTTTACTTTATAGCTCCCTTTTCTCCCTAGTTTTTTTTTTTTTAAAAAAAAGCCTCTAGAAATACACAGCAGTAGAGCTGAATCATAAAAAAACAGTGTAAAGAATTAATTGCTTTAGATAGGATTTAAGTGGGTTATCATATAGTCACCATTGCAAACAAGAGGAAAAGAAAAAAAATATATACACAGGAAGATCAGCTAGAGGATAGATATATTCTTATTAGCATATCTAACAAAGCTGCCCCAGGCTCCACATTTACTTTCAAAGTAATGGAATTCTGTTACAAGACAGTAACCAACGTGGCACATAATTCTTTGAGGTCATTTAAAGCCTGTCTGTTAAACAAACATTACTTTTTTTTTTTTTTCCCCAAGGATTCATAATATTTCCTGTACTCCTACAGCAAGTTTTATCCTATCTGTCTCCTAAACTATCATTTTGAACCACTGAGAAATTGTTTGCCTAAAACCAGAACTCTGATTTCAATACCTTTCTGTTATTAATATTCCTTAAGTTACATTTCAGCTTCTAATCAAGGTTTGCTGCAAGTTTCTCTTTTGATGCAAGTTTACTGTACGGTGCCTTGGATCTCAGCTAGAATGCAGTGTGTCATGTGAACAGTAAAAAACAATACAGCTCAACTTTCCCAAAGTAGGTTGAATCAGGAGTTTCAAGGATAATCAAAACCACATTTTTACTGGCAAGCAGAGCCAATAAGTCATTGAAGCTATATAAATATATTCATACCCTCATTGCACTTCATTATAAAAAGAATCTCACACCCAGAAACACAAAAATTCTTGCTGTGGAATACTGAATAATTGTGGAACAAATACATGGAAGAATACACTGATGTTTGCATGAGAAGTGCATTGTAAAAGGGATCCCAGTAAAACAAGCTGAATCTTCTGACTTTTATAACCTTTTTATGACTTTCTTAGCAGACGTTAGAAAATTTGAAGGACTTTGTACAGAGCAGTATTCTTTACAGAAGTATATCCTGCTTATATTTAAGTGAAATTTGTGTCTGATTTCATATACAAGTACATGCAAGCATGCAAATCCATGCATGTTTTTAGAAAAGTCTGTCACTAAATATTTTGGACCAATTTATAGTCTTTGGTAATGCCAATAGGTAGGTCCCAGTCAATTTGGTATTTTATGTCAGCAAGTTATTCTACATGTGACAATACCTCTGTGTAAATGCAATAGTATATTTATTAGAGATGTTATTTATGTGCATGTGTCTTTACTTGACTTGTGTCTAGACCCAGTCTGGATTTAGACTGCTGTCACTGACAGCAGAATGTAAATCTTTGTATGTTTCCTCTCTTCAAACTATTATTTGTGTGTGTGTGTGTGTGTGTGTGAAATACTGGCTTTCTTTTCACTGCTAACTACAAAGGCAGATTTATCAATGTAAGTGGAAGTTATCTGAACAACAGCCAATGTAGAACACAGCAATAGCAGTGATTCATGGCATTTTTTACAGTTCGTTGTGTTTTTTAATGCTCAGAGCCCATATAGGCAAGAAACTATTTCCCACATACTGTGAGATAGAAATATTGCTCACCCTTTTGTAGAATATAAAGCTGAGAAACAAAATTGAAGTGATTTAATGACAACTAAACACTATCTTCATCTCAGAAACGCAGCACTGCACAGTTCAGCCAAATTGCGGCTACCTGAAAAAAGGAAGAATTTGATCACCTGTGCCTGAAATCACATATTTTTAAGTTGTTCTAACCACAGTGTAGGCAAAACTAAACTGAATGATTTCACCATGCTGAGTTATTTCCCACGTTCCTTTGTTACTCCAGTAATGTCAGAAAATGCAGGAACGGGGAAGTCATATGATGCATAGGAAAAAGAATATTGTGGTTTCTAAGAAAAATATTTATTACCAAGCAAGCTATTTTGATTTATTAAATGATAGCTTCCCATCATAGTGTTTTTTTGATATGGTGCTTGAAACCACAATGGTTGTATAAAGCCAGGACCTTATTTGTTTGAAGGCATCCACTAGTGGGTTTTTTTAATAGAAATATCAGCTCATGACAATGCCAGATTCATAGAAAATTCATCCAAGGAATAAACTCTTAAAAAATTATTTTTTTCCTAGAGTGTCCATTAAGCCAGTGCAGGCACTGTGTCTCAGTGCTAGTCTTCTAACATTAGATTTATAGGATGTTATAATTAACAACAGGTGATGGGCAGCACTACATGCACAGCAAGCAAATTGAAAAGACTGGCAGCTCAAGAACCACTTGTCAATCATCAAAACTTTTCCCTGGACAAACTCAGTAGTCATCCTGGTAGGTTTTATGACAATTGTGGGTTGTTTTTGTTTGTTGTTTAGTTTGGTTTTTTTTTGGGGGGGGGGTGTGTTATGGTTGGTGGTGGCAGGTTTTTTTAAATTCCACCAGCACAACCCCCTTTCTCCTTTTTCATGTCAAAGATTAGGGACTGTTTTGTTGGTTTTTTTGGTGGGGTTTTTTTTTGGTTTTTTTTTTTTTTCCTCCCCACTTCTATGTTTACCAGTCTATAAAATGAGACAAATCATGCTTCCCTACTCTCAGGGGACTTTTCTTGGAGCATCACAGACAAGTCCACAGACATTTTTAAATTATGCAGATTTTGTTAGTAGACACTTGTGTCTCCATTATTCCAGCTCTCTCAAACTCACATTCTATACAGATAACACAAAGGAAAAGGTTCAAAATGTTTACAGCCCCCACATCTGTTTTAAGAAAAGCAGTTCTTCTACTTAGGGCTGAAAAGGAGAGAGGAGGACACTGAAAAACGTGAATCAGCAAAACAAAACTATGTCCCAAATTAGTTTTCATTTGTACAGTTAAACAAATACCATTCTCTTTTTTTTCCTTCTGTTGTGAGAATATTAGTGAGGCAAGGTATGTTGGGAAAGGCCATGGTTTTGTTTAACCAAGTGAAGAAGGACTTGTATCCCAAATCTACCAATAGATCTAAATTGATGAATTGTTTCCAAGGTACTAACCTAAAGTGATCATGATATTAATGAGTTAGTTACATGTTGTAACATAATGACTATAGCAAAGCGGATTACTTTTGGGGGTATTTGGATAATTGGTTACATAACCTCATTGACATTAGTACATACTTTAAATGCATTAACTGGTAGAAAGATGTAAATAGGAATGTTAAAAATAAATAATCAGTATTTGTACTATAGAAAGTATTGGAGATTTTTTTAAATGGATATATTCCACACTCTTGCCAATATAGTTCCCGAAGTTCCTCTACAGATCTCACTGATCCATGGAATCAATTTCTACTAAAGACCTTTTAGGGCGTTTCTTACCTCCTTTTATCCTCCCCACCCCAAAATACACTTGAATCAGTAACCTTTAAGTTCTTAGCATTACTATATTAGCAAGCTATGACTATTATTCTATCTTTATGTTACCAGGCTGCCAGCAGGAACACGTTGCTAAAAGTTTGAGTTCTTTACAATGTAGTGAGCTAACATTCTCCGAGAACTCTTTTCATACTGACTGTGGAAAAACATATTCATTTTTTTGGGTAGGCTTATGAGACCACTGTAGGCATTGACAGGATATTAGTACACAAGAGAACCTGGGCTGTGATCACACTATATAGGTTTGCATATACTAACACATATGTGCACCCCATAACGGAAAATGATCGGTTTTAATGCCTGTCCTTTGCCTGCGATTGTAGAATTGGACTATTTGTCTCAAATCCACCAGCAAACATTAAGTGGTTCACTTAGCTTAAAGTTGAGCACAACCCAAACCAGTACTAACTTTTCAGATAACATTGTGTTAACTTCATTGTGAATTGGAGTCTCAACAGATTCTGTTAAACTGCTTTACTTTATAGCACTGACTATAAAGTAAGATGGTG